AACAACTTATAATATAAAATATTTAGATAGATAATTAAAGAACTATAAAGACTGATTAAGATACATATCTTTGCTTAAAAAAAGTTGTTGTAATATTTAAACACTTTTATTTTAAATGAGACTGTTCAATTGCCCAAATGTAAGCTCCTACACGAATAACCTTTTTAACTGAAAGTCAAAGATACTGTAATCTCCTACATGGACATTTTTAACTAAAAAAAAAATAGGGTAATATCCTACACTCCAGCATTTTATTTGAATACATGATTTTGGAATTGAAAAGCTCAAAAAGCTAAAAATGATAACTTGAAAATAATAATTATGAAAATATATTTCTATAGATAAAATACAAACACTTGGTTAGTGATTTATTTTAATATGACTATTATTTAAGTTTTTATTTATATAGGTAGCAAAATTGATTTTTGTATAATATGTATTGCAATATCGATATTTTATTTTTTTATGTCGAAAATACGAAGACATATTATTTTTACTGATTATTTTGATTTTTTTACCTATACAACTAAGTCATTTGTTTTTTAATATTTAATTATGTATCGTAATAAAACTATTTAAACAGGAAAAAATTATTAAATTTGATAATTTATATAAGTATGCTGTAGGAAACAACAGCGTTACAAGCAGCGGTATCTATTTTTAGATTCTGAGTGAAACGATGAATGTATTGATTTTACAATGATGTATGATTTTTTATTTATTTATTTTTTTTTTTTTGTGTCTGTGTAAACGATAAGTAGTCGAAATAATGCTTCGATTTTCGACTTCAGTATCTTGTTCGATTGGAAAGTGAATATCGTTGGTGCATTGAGGAAGTCAAATTTTAAAATTCCCAGTACTTTTCAAAAGCGCCAAGAAAAACAAAAGAAAAATTAAGTAAAAACGGGAATTTTTACGCAAAATCGATTTTTCAGAAAATTGAATTTGGTTTTTGGTGTAACTTTAAAACAAATGACCGTAGATACATGAAATTTTCACTGGTTGTTTATATTTGCATTTTCTATACACGATAACATTTTCAAAATATTTTGATTTATTTTGAACTGTTTAGGGACATTTTAATTTTTAATTTTTTTTTAGATTTTTTTCTAGAAATATCAATAAAATTTTATTTGTTGGTTAAAAAAACTTGAAAATTTAATAGAAGGCTCCTAGTATATTGTTTCAAAGGCAGATGAAAAATATTAAAAATTGTTAGTCACAGTTTTTTTTAATAAGCATTTAAAGTTCATAAATTGACAATTTTGTTGTGATTATATAATATTATTCGTGGTTACCTACTTGAAACTTCTAAAGTGTACTATTATATATCTATGATAGTATCAGGGTTTGTTATTGATGTTGATGTATAACGTGTTATAAGTACCTAATGGATATTGTGATAATGTGATATGATTAATTTGGAATTTATTATAGGTCAATTTTTAATACCATAGATATGTATATAATTTGTCTTAAGCCTAGACTGACATACCGTCTTCGCTCAGAATCGTTTTTCTTATACAATGATATTGTATCATTGAATTCAAATTTAATAGCATCCACTATACAGTGACCCACTTGTAACCTACTGTACAGCAGAGCGACATCCACTTACCCACCTTTTTTTAAAAATTAATTTGACTTTTTTTTAAAAACTTTCTATTATTTTACTATCGTTTGTAGGAGTTAACACTATCTTTTTTAGGATTCAACACTTTCTTTTGTAGTAGTTAACACTATGTCTATATAGGAGATTACCTACATTTGTAGGAATTTACCGTTCCCCGTTCAATTGTTGTCTACCTGGCTATCAAAGTATCAAGCAATGGAGAACGACGAGAACGTTAAACCATTTTGGCTGAACGATTGATAACACTTAAAATGAACAAAGAACTTAATACTGACCCAAAAAAAACCCCAATAAAGAATACGATTGAGAACAAATTTACGTACAACGTTGCCACATAATTTATTTGACTTCCTATTAAACTATTCAGTAATACACACATAAAATAAATATTCTTGAAAAAAGTCATAAATTAATAATTATTTTCTTATACAAAATATGGGCACCTAATAAATAATAATATTATGTAATAATGTAATATAGTATATTATGAATAAAAATGTAAAATATTATGTAGAAATTATAGAAATATGTTATATACAGAGTGATTTTTTAAACATGCTCACCTCCATGTTTCCTTTTGACAATACTTTTATTAAAATTTTTATTTTTGGAACTTTTATGTATACCTGAAGACCATATTCGCAAATTTCTGATAATTTTTTACTACTCAATGAGTCTCCAGTGGCTAAACATTCCAACATTTTCAAATGAAAATCCCCTTTTTTATTGTAAATTATTAAGTGTGTGATTCTCTTGAAAATGTTGATATATCTAAATCAAAATTCTAATGAGTAGTTTTTGAGTTATTAAAAAATACATACTAATGATAATAATCTTTAAATATGGTTTTATAAAAATATAAACTATATAATATTTAATATAAGATGTAATATTCATTATACTTGAATCATTTATATTGATAGATCAATAGTAATTTCTAACATTACAAAACCATTTAAGTCACCAAATCTACTTTACCTATTAGCCATTACCATAGACATATTATCCTGAATACCTTGACCATGTTCTATCGTAGCTATTTTAAATATTGTTTCTGCTTAAGTTTCAATTAGAATTTTAATAACAACATAGTATATTGCTTGATGATTTTAATATCAACAGATTATCGTGCTCAAATTTAATCGTTCGGTTAAATTTAACAACTTTAAAATAAAAATCGAGGGTTCTATCGTGTTACCAAAAATGCCGTTCTCAATCATATTTTAACTGTGTACCAATTATACTCTATTCAGGTTAAGATTGAACCACTCTGCCGACCAAAACTCGTTTCATCAGCGCATCCCCACCACTAGATAACCCCTCTCCCAAAATCCTTGAGAATTCACTGTATACAGTATACGGTGTTAACACCGATGACGGCAAGTGCCAAATGATAGTCAACCAAATTTCAATAACCAATAATAATACTCATTACGATCGCTTTAGGAGTTCGACGCAGATTGATGGATCAATCTACATGAATGAAAGTGGTGCAATCATAACCTGAATAATTTATATAGTGTATAGTATATAGATTAAAAATTAATTTACGAATTCTTTCAGGTAATGTTGCATCAGCGTGACCAATTTCTTTGGGTAAAGTTGCATTATCGCCATAACTCTCGATGTTTATCTTTGTTTTCACGTGTTTTATAAATTTTGTATAGTCATCTGGGATATCCAATTTTTCATGAAGATGATCCAAAAATGTAAGTTACCGAAACATTTATGAAAAATAAAATTGTATAACGTATTTATTAATTATTATACATTATTTGTTGCGTAATTACACGGTAAGGAGGTTGGTTATGAATAATTCAACAGACTCTGTGATTTTATTTATAAATAGGCAAATTATATTCTTATAATTTACAAAATTTAAAACTCATAATTACTCACCAAAGTGCTTTACAAAATTGAAATTATAAAATCCAGTATTGGCTATAAACAACAAATCACACAGTTTATTACTTTCTTAATTTAAAAATAGATCCATTGATAGTTTTAAAATATTTAATAATATTGTGTATTTGGTAGAAAATATTATATATTATAAAATAATTTTACCTGGATATATATAAAAAGAATTGTTAAATACTTTTTCTGATAATACATAAAAAAAATAACAATTGGGGTTGATGTGGAGTAGTTGTTAGCCACAGTCACTTAAATGTGTGCTGCGGTCAAGCACCGTCCGGCGTCGCTAGCTCCCTATGGGTGAACACCCGCTGGTTTTTAGTGACAAATCCTCACCCTACATATACACGTCGTGTTTCTCAACCAACCATAACTTCCTACGAAATTATGATGGACATAGTTGCTGATGCTTAAAATCGATTAAAAAAAAAATAATAACAATACTTACATGATAGAAACCCAACTTTTTCTGAAATTTCTGTTAGTTATTTCAAAATATTAGAAAATATATCAATATATTTAAAGAAATTAATTAATACAATTATTATCAAATAAAAAATTAAATCTAATAAATTGCTGCAATGGTGATAGGAATATTATTTAACTTAATAGTTACAGCACAAGACTAAGATAGTCTAGTGAAAAGTTTTGTAATGAAGAAAAGGACAGAGAATATTTAATTATGATGGCAATACCACCATGAGGTGTGTGGGATAATAACATTGGAGTATTTGGTAAAATGAGTCTCAGTTATTAAGGCAATATCGATACGTTTTTCGTATATCACAGCTTGTATTTCATTGACGTGGCTTTTTAGGCGGTGGGCATTGAGGAGGACGATAATAATAGATTTTGAAGTGTGCGAGTTATTTTTAATTTTTTATAATTTAAGAGAGATGAGTTTAATTAAAGGGTTAAATACTGACTTAAATTCGTCCAGAAAACTTGACATTTTTTCATCAAAATCAGGGGGATGGCTGCTATCTGTTGGCTGGTTTAAAGTATCATGGGTATAATATTTTTTCTGCGACGAAGAGGGGGGGGGGTGCTAGTGCTATTAGTTTCCAGAGTTGGGTGGCTTTCTTTTACACTGGAATGATTTTTAGTTAACTTTAAATTAACATTATCATGTAGAAAGTTACTTTTATTGTTCGGCTTGTTTCATTGAACTTTTCTATAGACGTTTCATCCTCGGTAGTTAGCTGGATGGTTGCCTGAGCATAGGGCGCATTTGGGAGGTCAATCTCTTGATTTGGTACCTATAGTCTAAAGATTAATGTAAGTCTCCTCAGCGGACACAGCGTGCTGAGTAGCCATAGTATGAAAGCGTGTGACCATATAGTCTTGGAAGTCGAGGCATTGACTAATTAACTTCGGTTTATTGGGTTCTTCCTTCTTCGACTTTAATTTTTGTATGAGGAATGCTGCAGAGTTTGAATATATCGTTTGAATGTTCAGTGGGTTCCAGATCGACGAAGAAAAAGGTTATCGGACATTTGGTGATTTTGTGAAGTACGTTAGTGACCTGCCTGACCTCAAAAGGCGCAATTCTAGCTCAGATTCAATTAGATCCGATGATGTAGATTGGATGTATATTGCAGATGATGATTCGAGTGGGTTTATCATCTTTTATCTGGCAGATTTAATATTGGGAATCCTTGTCTTTCAATAAATGTATCAGAGATCTATATGATTCAGGGTTTGCCGTTTATATTTTTCGACGATCTTCGGAGGATATGCAATAAAAATTGCCAACTAAAATAATATCGATCAAGGCTTCACACATTTTCAAAAAGTCAATTATGCATTTTACAAAAATCGGTTTTAATGGTTTAATTTGGTTGACGATATTAGATGTTTCTAGCAATATTATATAAACAATAATATATTCACAATGAATGACGTAAAAGTGGTTAGGTTTACGAATTAAATAGTACTCGATGTTTTGTGTATATTTTAGGGTTTTACCTATTAAAAGTTATTATATTATCAACTGCACTGTCATCATCATCTCGCTATTCATCACTTACAAATTTACAGTTTTAAATTTTGTTCTTTTAAATAATAATTAATATTCTGTCCTGTCTCAATTATAAATATTAAATTCGAATTGGTATAATTAATAAAAAAAATATTTCAAAAAAAAGTGTTCATTATTCTAATGCTTTATGATATACAACATTCTAAGTTTTTTTTCATGGGCTTATATAAATAGTTTTGTTGATATTCCGACACGGGAACAGGTGACATACACTGTCCATGTGAAAAACATGGGTTTCAAGATTGATGCCACAAACACTTAGCGACTGCCTTTGAGATTTATTTATCGACATTGCAAATACTAGCTGATTCCGTGCACTTCGTTGCCCGTTAAATGTACCAACTCTTTAGGAATCAAACTTAGTTCAATTCGTTATTTAATATTTGGTGTATGGTATTCAAAACTTATCAATAATTTTTCCATTGCCCAGAATGAAAATTACGATAGTTCAACTCCATTAGGGGTGTAATGTTTTAATGTATAGCCATCTCGACCTGCGTTGTCCGTGAGATTCGTAGCAGTAGGCATATTATCAGGTAGGCAATCTACCTGCGGTAGATAGTGGACCTCGTGCTGTTTGTACGTAAGTGTATAATTTAACTCTAAAGTAGGTATAAAAGTTATACCAAGTTTGTCGTTTTTACTTAATTCAACCTTTGGCTGATTAATATAATAAATTAATACAAAATACTAACCTAACAGTACTAAAATCTAATGAATAAAAACAACTAAACATTCTTATGTATAGATAAATAAGAAATATAAAAAAATGGAAAAATTTGGTTCTCTGAAACCTTGGTTTGAACTTGAGGGATTCTGTACAAAAATTCATAGAAGCGCCACTGCACCAACATGCTTATCGCTTTAATAACAATTTTTATTAAAACCAATAGCAACCATTTCCAAACAAAAATGTCCATCTTAAATTTCATAATCCCTATTTGACCTCCCCGTGTTGGAATTTACCATTTTTAAATTAGTCTATTTCCTTCCCAGAGGTCTAATCTATCCCTGTACTAAATTGCATCGCAATCGGTCAAGCCGTTTATCAATGCTTAAAGGACACACACATTCATTTTTAATCTACAATCAATCGATTTATTATAATTGAAGGCTTACATGTTATTAATTTCATTATCAACTAAATTGTTCCTATAGATAAGTGCTTCCTCTTGGCACCATTTATGGAGCGGCCAAGGTTTGATTTTATTATAAATCAATAAAACAAAAATTTCTCAAAATTAACAACTAAAACTATAACAATCATACCAAACAGCAACGTTACAATAAACAAATATATATTATTACTTAGTTTATTTTCTTCCTGGACAGATAGCGCCACTATAGTATTTTTTTTACATCCAAATTTCTTACCTTTCCGGTGGTTTTTCCTAAAATTGTATTACATAAGAACCTTCTCCTGATAATTACGAACACAACAAAAAAAGAATTAGCGACATCGGTCCAGCCGTTCACGAGTGATGCTATGACCCAGGGAAACAGGGGTCCATTTTTATATATAGAGATTAACAGATTATATTATTATATTATAATAATATGTATTATTCTTTTGAAGTTTATCAAGAGTTATAGGTGGCAGTTGGTGGCAGTCGGTTGTAGCAGTTAAGGGGTTTGAGATGTATTTTTACCAAATATTAAATACACTATTGTTTATTACTCTAAAACAGTAACACATGTATAAATTAATAAAGTATTCTTTAAATTGTATGGGTTATAGATATGGAAGAAATATTAGAGAGTGCCCATGCTTACGTCTTACAATTATTTAGGTCACTATAATTCGTGGCAAAGCGCATACGACAAGATAGTCGAAATATCATACAGGTAGTACCTAAACGCCCCGTACATAAATGTAAGTCACTTCATCATGGTGTATCATGTTAAAAAATAATTATAAAATATATTAACTACATAATTTACTAATATGAAGTCCCTTACCCATGCAATCTAAAAAAAAATTAAAATATTGCATTAAATAAATTATTAGATACTAGGTACATACATTATACTTATTATAATATTAATATAATATTATGAAACATATTGATTTCTTAATTTTGGTAAATAATAAAGCAATATAATATAATATATATTATAATTGAGAATTTTAAATATTGTAAAGGTATGCCAAGTACCAAAAATGAAGCTACTTTACCATATTTGTTTTATTTGACAAACACACTAAAGCTTGAAATTATAGTTTAAATATTATAAAGGTACGTCATGCGCATAGAAGAAGAAGCTACTTCATCATCATGGTTGTTTTATGGTTTGGTCATTGGAAAATCATTTAAAGATTTCGAGTATTTAAAAATTAACGAATTAATAAATGTTATTTTCGTGTCACAATTTTTTGATTAGGTTACATATTATGCAATACATTTTGATGAATTGAACATGATATATTATGTACAATACACATTATACGTCATACACACAAGCATACATAATGTTGGAGTACAAGTATGTTGCTACTTGTTTCAGTACATAGAACATCGTTAGAATTAAAACTAAGTTAAGGAAACATTTCTCTGATATGTTATACAATTTATAATAATAGTCAAGATCACGGATATATAACAAATTAAATACACTTAATAATTAAACTTCTAAAAATAATAGGTAGGTGGCCAAATGACAATACAGAGGCCCCAAGTCTCTCATGTTTCCGGATGTACCTATTCAATCATAAAAGGTGTTGAAAAACAATTTGTGAAACTTTAGTTTATTAACTTCCAAAGGAAGTATTGGGAACATGATGCAATAATTATATACGTAGTTACGTTTATTAAAAGTAATTTAATAGTCTATAGTCTCATTGGTTTTTCTGAATTTCTGATCGGTGAAGTGCAATTTTTTTCATAAAGTAGTTAGGTACCTACATATAAAAAACTTTATGACATTTCTGAATTCAACTTATTATAAATTATCAAAATTCAAAATCCGTCTAAGATATGTAGTAGAATTAGTAGAAAATTGATTGAAAAATTAACTTTGAACTTCAACTTTTTAACCAAAAATATTGACTTATTTTGAAAGCATAACCATCTATTTCTATTTCTATTTATCAATTAAATTTTAGATTCTGAGTGGAACGATGAATGTATTGATTTTACAATGATGTGTGTTTTTTTTTTATTTTATTTATTTTTGTGTCTGTCATCACGGTTTGGGGCAGTAAAACTGCTTCTATTTTCTTCAACAGTATCTTTTCGATGGGAAAGTGAATCTAGTTGGTGTATTTAGGAGGTCAAATTTTAAAATTACCAATAGTTTTAACCAGCACCGGGAAAAACAACATAAAACTTGTAGGGAAAACGGTAATTTTTACGCAAAAAAAAACGATTTTGGTTTTTGGTGTAACTCTAAAACAAATGAACGTATATACAAGAAATTTTCACTGGTTGTTTATTTTTCCATTTTCTACATACAATACAATTTTCAAAATATTTTTATATGTTTTGAACTGTTTAGGCCGTTTAGGGACATTTTCAGTTTCCCATTTTATTAGTTTTTTATTTCTATGAATTTCAATAAAACTTTATTTGTTGAGTAAAAAACTTGAACATTTAATACAAGGCTCCCAATAGATTGTTACAATGACATTTGAAAAATATTAAAAATCCTTAGTCACAGATTTTTTTTATAAGCATTTAAAGTTCAAAAATTGACAAAATATGGAAAAATCACGAAAATTAGCTAATTATTTTGAGTTAAGATTTCGTAAAAATTTTTCTTTTTAAATCTAAGATTTTGAAATTTAAAACAAGACTCCTTATGAGATTATCTACCTTTATCAACAAAAAAAAATTTCTACCGGAAGTTGAAATTAAATTTTTATGAACATTTTAAATTCATATTTTTGATATTTTTTTTTTCATATTCACAAAATTTGTTATTCACTGGATTTCTCATGTAACGATTTTCTTATTTTGTTTTACTTCAAAAACGAATAACTGTAGATACATGAAATTTTCACTGAATGTTTATATTAGCATTTCCTATACAACACATAATTTTGAAAATATTTTGACTATTTTTGAGCTGTTTATGGGCATTATCAGTTTTCAATTCTTTTTTCTATAAATATCCTGACCGTTTTCGCTAAGAATCGTTTTCCTCATACAATGATTATATTATATTATTGAATTCAAATTTAACATCATCCATTACACATTACAGCGACCCACTTGTAACCTACTGTACAGCAGAGTGACTTTTTTATAAGCATTTAAAGTTCAAATTTCGTCAAAACCACAGTTAATTTTGTAGTTCAAAACTTATAAAATATAAAATATGTATAACTAAGGCTAGACAATTTAATACAAGGTCTTTCATAAAAGTAGCTCATACTTTTACCGAAAAATTACAGATAATTTATGAAAATTGGTATGCAAATACAATGTTTTTTCAAAAATGAATTCATTCTTAAGTCTTGCTTACTATAGTTGACAGTTTAAAGTTGATTAATATTTTTTTGAAAAAGTAATAATAATACGGGCAATGGGGGGTCATCCCGTTAACCCCCCCCCTGAGGACGCCACTGATGGTAAGAACATTATATGTGTTTTTTTTTTTTTTTGATCTTAAGCTTCGGCAACTATGGCCAT